ACGCTCTTTGTAATCTGTCTCCTCAACATTTGCTCTGCTACTGCAACCACATTTTACTGTTCACAAGTGCAAAGGCAAAACAAGTCATTCAATTTTGCCTACATTTCTGTGTTTTATTGCATCAGAAGGCCCTGATCTTTCCTAGGATACGCTTACAAACTCAGCATAAGTAAAAAAAAAATAATAATTGCACTTGCTTTGTGATCTTGAAGAAGTCACCTTGACTAGAAGTCAGGGAGGTTACTTATCTCATCAGAATAAATTACAGTCAGTCTCACTGAATGGATGTTAATGTCTTGAGGATCTCTGCTGAAACTTGCTGTTATAGTGAGGTAACTCGTAAGCTATTTTACAGCTGAGGCTGTCAGTTCTGTCTTTACTCAGGTAAGTGATAGAAATGCTTGGCCCAACATGGGCCAAGAAAAGTTTGGGGATGTCACAGGAATTATACCCATTATGGCTGCTCAACCTACTGCTTATGGTCTAGTAGTTTCAGTGCAGTGAAAATGACTGCAGCCAAGGATCATTTGGGAAGGCATTGGCAAAACTTGATGGAAAGAGTAGGACAAAATGTGAACCTGCCATCTGCACCTATCCAAGACAGCTCTCTAGGGTAAGAAAGGTAGGAATGTGGTAATGAAAGTAACAGCTCCGGCCAGAGGCTGCTGTCAGCTCCAAATCCACTTGAGGCTATTGCAAAGGCTGAGGAGAATAAGCACTAAACTGACATCTTGGCTACAGGCACCAGAATGTCTCGCTACAGCATTAGTTAAACTTGACACTGGCCAGCATGTCACTTTTAATTTGACCAAACTCATAATTGACAAGATCTGTTTTGATCAAATGGTGAATTTTAGTTTCAGGAGGTCACAATGTATCTTCTTTGTGTAGGCTGGGTAAAGCTTCACTGTGGAAGAAGTTATGTTGGAATCAGCAAGCACTTTTCAGATGAGGCGCTATTCAAAACAGGGCATTTGGTCGAAACAGCGGCTGTTTGTAGGCTTAGTGTTGCTATAGAAGCCCAGAAACTGAACAGTATCCAACTGGCTCCCCCACCGCTCCCCCCTGCCTACCATAGGCAGGGCAATCTGTTTTTTCCTGTTTCTTACCAGAGTACCCTGGGCTCTGACCTAGGCACATATATTTTATATGTACTGTACTGCTGCAACATGGAGAGTTTGCAGGGTTAGAACTACGTCTTTGTCATTTTTACTTTAAGCAAAAGGGGCCAAATAGCTGTACTCAATAGACTGTGTGCCACATCTGTTTCTTTCTTTATGTCCCTTATCCTTTTTGTCACTGCATTTACTGGTTTTCCTTCCAGTTTAATGGATTTATTAGGCAGCAGCATCAGAAGGTGCTTGAGAGCACGCTGATAAACAAAGCAAGCAAAACACAAACCTAACTAAAAATTGCCCTTTGTATTGGCAGTACAAACAGCAGAGATCCGGATGGGTGTTAATGCCAATCCGTAATACATCCTTAACACTGGTGTCAGGGCTGGGGAACATTGACAAAGGAAAGAAATAAATTGCTGTTTACAAAGATTATAGGTGATACAATGGTAGAACTGTGATGAGTTTTTAATGTGTAATATTAAAGTAATAGGCAAGTGATACTTAATGAGTACTCCTCGTATCAGTCATCTGGCCTTGCTCTGCTTTCTTTGTGTGGGTTCTTCTGAGTGTCTGGTTTCCTTCCTGCTGGTGCTGCTTGATCAGCACCACAAAGTGCTAGAGCAGGACTTTGGGGCAAGATAAGCCAAAGGGGTCTGTGGGCCAGGTGAGATGTTCTGGAGGGGGTCTTATCACTCAGAGGCCTAGAAGAGATTGAGGGTGCTGGTAATATTTTGTGCTGCAGACCACACTGTGGGAGAGAGTACTCCAAGAATGGGTTCTACAACTCCCCCCAGATCCTCCTCCATGGAAAAAAAAGATTAAATGTATTGCGGCACTTGATGGTGTCTTGACATAAAAAGCATTGGGATTCTGGAAGATTCAGGTGATTTTGCACACTGTTAACTTGCACTACTCGCTGCTTGGTAAAACAATGGAGAAAAATACAATAGAATGAATAAAGGGAGAGAGCCTTAAGAAAGGATCTTAAGAAAGTAGTGGCCAAAAAAAATCTTAAATGCATCTCCTGAGAGCTTAACAGGATTATAAGAATCAGGAAAATTGCCTTTTTGACAGTTTAATGATTGTTGCCCTACTGGTCTGTGCAGTTTAGCCTATATTTGAGGTCTTATGCAGGGTGTTCCAGTGTTCCTATTGTTGAAGGAAGTGTTATGGGCCAAGTGTCATACCTGATATTGTTGAGTCAGATGTTGGCAAAATGCCTGAATGAAAGCTGGTTTCCCTAAATGCTGAAGGAGGCGAGAAACAGCAGGTGGGCTGCTTCTTCAGAGTGTGCAGCTCCAGGAACCTCTGTGGTCCAGAAACTATTTGCCTCCTTCCTGGGTAAGCATCGTAGCTACCTAACTCTCTAGGCTTTCTGCCTTCAACCTGAAATCCAATCCAGTGACTTCTGTTTGTGACTGCAGAAGGTCCCCACCCCTTGGAGCTGAGAGCTAAGAACTGTGGGCTACTGCTCTGAGCCATTGGCACTGCTATGTGACTGCCCATCACACAGGAGTACCCATTTATTGAACTTGTAGGAATGAGCATGTGGCCTACCTCTTATCTCTAATGAGCCACTATAAGAGTGACTCTGGATCTGCGACCCTCTTTGCGTTAACCATTAGAGCATGACAGTGTGCTTGTATTTCATCAGCATAGTTCTATTAAATTATCACTCACATGACAGAGACTCCATCCAAGGCTCTCGTGAACCCCAGATCTCCAAATCTGGAGAAATATCTTTGATGGCAAAACTGGGTCAAAGAAAGCCCAAATGCTCCCAAGTGAGCGTGTTTCTGTACTTATGGCTGCTCCTTCTACATGTACATGTGGGCCTGTGAGAAGAGCCAGGTTAAAATCCTTCCCCCTCCTTAAAGCAAAAGCTTTTTATTAACCCTGACAAGCTTAGCAAACTCTTTTATAGTGCTCTCTTTCAACTAGTGCTACCACAACTGAGGAAGTGGCAAACTGAGGTGTAAAGGCAGAAACTGGCACACTGATGGGAGTTCTAGGGGATGAGACTCCATGTGATAGTTCTAATCCTCAGGCCAGTTTATTGTAAAGATAATTACTTTAATGAAAATGACCTGAGATGAGGAAGAAGCCTTGACTTCAGGGAGAGCTGTTAATACCACTGGCAGTAGGAGTTCTTTAGAAGCTGTGATTCTGTTCAGAGATAATGCCAAGGCTATAACTATGTTCTACATCCTCGCTTAAGCCCCACTGACATCCTGCTCCTGCATAAGTGTTTTCCTGAGCTGAGTCTTGCATTGCGGATAATTGCAAACACCCCTTTGTGGCTTTTATTTTGATCCACACTCTTCTGTGATACCCTTTTTTTCCCAAAGTGCATGATAAGAGGTTATCAGGTAATTTTTATTTTTTTTTTCGGGACATCATTAAGTAGTGCTTTTCCCATTGGCACATTCACTGTCAGCAGGATAAAGGGTACTCTAAAGAGTTAAGAAGAGTAATTGTTGTTTCATCAGATTATGTGTTAGTTCAATCAGGCTAATGCACTGTAATATCTAGACAAGCCCTATAATTGAAGATGGTTTGAAACAAGCTTTTAGCTATTCATGTGCTCTAGCTTTAAGTTAATTTCACATCTAAGCCATTAAGCAAAAAAAACCCAACCAAAAATCAAACCAAACAAAGAAACCCAAACTCAACCAATCGATAAAATATAGGCCATTGTTTATTAAAGACGTTTTGAAAATCAGGTTGTTTACAAAGACAGGAGTGTGTGTGTGTTCTTTTTCAAAAGCTTGGAACTAATTTTTTCTCATTTTGCAAAATGTGTGCTGAGTCTGAAAAGTCAAAGTCAGTGATATCTCTTGCAGAATCGCCTTTTTAGTGCACGTGCAAATCATTTGAACAATAGCCTGAACTGCCTGTATTCCAGTCTATTCTATATGTACCCAACATAGAGGAGTAAGATTTCACTTGAGGGTCTGTAATAAGGGTCAATGCTTTCTGAGTCATGTTAGGAAGGAAAATGGAACTTCGAATACAATTCTTTGTTGAATTCTTCCTTGCCTCTCTGACCAGCACAGTTTAAATGCTGAAATGACGTAGAAAGAGAATAGAGAGGATGGATCAAGGCTTTGCCCACTTCATAGCCCTCTCTAGTTGTTTAGCCCCTATCTACGTATAAAAGGGGAGTGACACGCCAGAGATCCTGCTTTCCTTCTTCCCCTGCTGTTCTTTAGGATGACTCACACCATATAAGCTACTATAAAAAAAATTAACTCTATCCCAGCCAAAACCAGTACAGAAAACTATGCTACATTTCTGCAGCTAGTCCTGGCTTGTAAGAGAAAGTCTCTACAGTTAATTATGCAGGGAACCATTTTCCCTTCTTTGCTAATGGGATCTTTCTAGGAAAATATGAATGTGAATGAACAAGCTAGTGTGACCCAAGTAGTCTGCTGGCTCTGGTCTCTCACACTGGTTTTATGCATTAAAGGAAAATCAGCGTAACATATCTACTTAGTTGTGAAGGGGATTAATTTCTGATGATAAGCTTATGTTCTGAGATACAGCAATTGAGTGTTTCTGGAACTTGTATAGATGTGTTAATCTAAATGTCCAATTAATTCTCATCTGCTAATTTTCTGGATTTTTTCACCTTGTACTGCTTCCTCCACTTAACAGTGCTTCAAAATAGGCTAACTACTTCTGGGATAAACAGCACTGTGTACATGCGTGCATACACAGTATGAATACTTTGCCAGCTACTTAGAGGTAGCCACCTTTAACCATTCTGTCATTAAATGTCTCCGCAGATAAAATATTGCAGTTCACTGATGCAGAATCATTTGAAATCAATCTGACTTAATCATTTTTATACACTTAATTTTTGTCTTCATGTTCCTTCAGGCTTCAGACTTGATTATCACCCCAGCTACGACTTTCAAGGAAAAACCAGACCCCAGTGGTTTGGTATTTGGAACTGTGTTCACTGATAATATGCTGATAATTGAATGGTCCTTGGCTTCAGGGTGGGAGAAACCTTATATTAAGCCGCTTGAGAACCTTTCATTGCATCCAGCCTCCTCGGCTCTGCATTATGCTATAGAAGTAAGTACTGAATTGATTTGGAAACTGTGATTTTGTTTCATTAGCTCTTGAAGCCATAGCTTTGTAATTCAAGGACTTTTACTGTCTTAATTTTATTAGAATTGAGTTACATTTTTGTTTGCTAACTGATGTCCTTCCGGAATAATTCCATTATTTACAACAGAGTTATGTTTATGTTGGTGTAACTCAGAAGCAACTCTGGTCTGTGGATTCTAGCTCACTTAACTTTCTAGCCTAGTGAAGGTGAGCCCTTTCTTGTGGTGACAAATTCATTTGAGAAAGCATTCTAGTTCACTGATGGTGAATCGGTCCAATTACTGTCTCTGGTGTAACTTAATGAAGCACTGGAGAAGACTCTGTGAAATTCCAAGAGGACCTTTAATTTGAGGACCGAACATGCACTTTGCGAAAGTTATTTTAAGCTGTTTTAAAGGTTCATAGCTTGGATTGCAGGACAGACTAGACAGGTGCTTGTTTTCAACTCCAAACAAGTCTGGAGAGCTCTGAACTAGATCTGATGCATTCAGCATATACAATTGTATTTAAGCAGAGAATATACAGAAAGGAACTTTGGAAAGTGAAATGTTAAGTCGGAAACCAGCGTGGTTAAGAGTTTCCGTGCTTAGCTGCTTACTGTCTAAAGCTGCCTTTTGTGTCTCCAGCGCAGCTTTGGCTACACTCACATCTGTGTGAGAGCTCAGTAGGGTGCCTATGCTGAAATGGAAGCCTGCTTCTCCTCCCACTTCTGGGTAGGTGGGAGTGTCTGAAGTTAGTGGATTTGCTTGTGCTTCTTTTATTATTTCTTTTTTTTTTCCGAACCACTAGTATAAGGGAAGGATCAAGCTTTCCCCTGCTTGTCCCTGAGCTCCTGCCGTCACCATTTTTTGTTGTTACTGTTTTTTTCCCCATCTAGTCACCAAGCCTCCAAAGGTCCTGTGTAAATTACAACAGGCCCCTGTGACTAAGGCTGAAGCTCTTGATCTGCCCAAGAAGTAAGGAACCACGCTGGAGTCCCAAATCTATATTTCGCTCTTACTAGCATATTGCTTTAATGCTCGGCCTATGGCCCAGTCTGAAATCATTGCTAATATGAATATGCTCTTTTTTTTTTCCATTTTTTTTTTTTTTTATTCCTTTACCCTTATTGCATCACGTTTCCTCTAGCCGAGAGGACAGACAGAGGAGAATCTGGTGCCAATGCTGTGGCTCAATGAATACACAGTGGGTATAATAAAAATGATGAATCTGGCATTCCCTCCCCTTTCTCCTTGCCCTCCATGATGCAGTGTGGTAGTCTGGATCTGCTGAACTCCAGATCCAGCTCCTGTGACGTACAGATGATATTGTTTGCGCACCACTGTAGCAACCAACCATCAAGCAACCACAGCAGTTGCTTTTATTCAAGTTGAGCATTTCTGGAACACATCACTGTCTCCCTTTTTAATGAGTGAAAGGTTTTACTGAGCTCTGGAAGGTTAAAAGCATTTCTTTTTTGTAGAAAAAGATTTAACAGCTTGAGAAGGCTTTGTGTTTCAGTAATGATGTGATTCTTACTTCTCTCAAACCATTGATCAAATCTTAGTAGTAACATTCCTTCCTCTTCCCTCTCATTAAAAGTTCTGTGAATGTGTTTGGGAAAAGGGTGGGGGGAAACAGCTGTTCTGTGATAAGAAAGTAGCATTACAGAAATGTGGTATCGGTTAGTAACTGGCCCAATAAAAATCACATCAAAGTATCAACCATATCACCAGCTATGCCATCCTTTATTAAAGATATTTTTTTTTTCTTGTAGCTACAATGTCTATCCTGGGAACAGTTTCCTTTTCAAAACTGTGTACAAAACTTTTAATAAGGTTGGCATTGCCACAAGAATAAGATAAGTTTTGAAGGCAAAAGGTTCTGGGTTCTAATTCTGGTTCTGCTACATAGTTGGCATGTAACCTAAGTAAAATTGCGGGGATTCCTGCAACACAGTTACAACCCAATTAAAATTTGTCATGTGGAACGACCTAGCTCTGTCATGGGACTGCACAAAATCTTTCTAAACACTGCATTTCACTGATCCTTACGGGGAAATTATATCGAATCTAATAATAATAATGAAACCTTGAGTATTCTACTAAAATTATTTATACATAAATACAGGATTCTTTTTTCCAAATAAAAACTCTGCATATGTAGACTTCCAACAACATAGAATGTATTTCCAGCAATTTTTTGTGCAACAGTCAGGAGAAGTCTGAGGAGACTGACAGCAGTGATGCAGTTAAATTCATAAAACTTCTACTGAAATTTAATGTACAAAGAAATGCTTTAGAAAATAAATTCTAAAAATCTGAACTCTTGTCTATAAGCATATGTGATCCTTTAATACTTAATCTAAATAATACCTGTATATAATAATATAAGCTTATATAATACATGTGTTTTCTGTCTATAACTGTAACTGGAAATTATCAATCTGCAACTGAAAATAGGTATGGATATTTTGTGGGCATGTGTTTTTTGCTGTGGTTAGGAGATGCTGTAGAGCACTCTGCTGGGAGGCTGTTGGTGGGATAACAGTGTCTGATAAACTCATTGACAATACCAGTCATCCAGATTCTGCAGTTTGATTGGATAATTATGACTAAGTTTTCTGTAAAGTATAGATAAAATATTTTCATGCATTCTTCATCTAGTGTAAGGCTGATGCATCTGTCTCTCATGCTAGCTAAGCTCCCTTCCACAGCATAGGAGTATATGGAGGAAATAAGTGACGAAGATTTTGTTACAGCTACAGCAAGAACTGCAACAGAGTTCCCTTAATTACCTTGTCCTGTGCTTCCTACAAAAATGCATTTTGGACAGAGCCCTAAAAATTATTAACATATATAATTAAATTCTATAGACCTTTTCCATGAGGGAGAATACTGTTTTGGCTCAGCCTTAAGTATCAGTCAGGATGTGAGTGAATAGTTCAGTCAAACACATGCTACAAATTTTAATTGTTGTAACCAAATAACAAAAAAAATGGTTGTCAGTAAGTCCCCTGACAGAGAAAGGAGTATCTGAAGCATAGGCAGGTCACCTTTGTAATATATACTTCATAATACTACCTCACAGGAGTGTGTTGCAAGGATTAAGTAGTTAACATTTATGCTTGAAGTACTGTGAGCAGGAAAGTGAAGTTCTTTTATTTCCAAAGGGTGTGTTCTGCTTTTGCACAGATCATCATGGGATAACATGTCTCAATTATTATTTGATTTCTTTTCCCCCCTTTTTGGCTTGGTAGTTGTTTGAAGGAATGAAGGCTTACCGAGGAGTGGATGGCAAAATCCGCCTGTTCCGGCCAACCCTCAACATGGACAGGATGGCGCGATCAGCAAGACGAGCAACTCTGCCAGTATGTAGCCAAGGCATCTTATTCTCCTTAAGTCAGAGCGTATTTTCGTGTTCAGAGTGCAAATCTCTGAAACTCTACAGTAGTGTGACAATTATCAAACACATTAACTCTTGAATAGTTCAGTTAAACTTTGTTAAGAGATCTTATTCAGTGAAGGGAACTTAGAAATGCATTTTTCTTTTAAATCACATCAATGTTTTACTTACTTTGTTGTCTCTCCACTGCCTCAGATGTACACAGTCTATTTCTGAGGAATGAGCACTGTTCTGCAGGTATTTGCATGCAGACAGTTGATGAAATTGTTCTGGTGCTAATGTTCTTTCCACTTCAGTTAAGTCCTTCAGCCTCTGAGTACCTTCATTTTTGGTCATGCTAGCAACTTAACACTGCTTTTAGCAGTTGTATATTGGCCAGTGAATTTCCTCCCATGTTTATTAGCTTTATTACTGTAAGAACTGTGCAAGTTTGTAAAACTGGGAGACTTGGTGGGCCCCTTGGAATTATAACCCAAAGCACTCTTCTGCAGAAGAGGTGGTGCCATAGCTTGTAGCATGCCAAAGTGAAGGTGTTGGCCGCACAGGCAGTTCTCTCCATGTCCTTTGGAGGAAAGAAGGATCAATGACTCCTTTTTATTATCTCAGGAGGATACTTTGTAGCAGCAGGAGCGCATTCAGAATACTGTATAAAAAGGTAAAGATCTTTCATTCTGTAAGAAATGAACTCAAGGAGATGATGTAGTCATCCATGAACGTCTATAAACTGTCTCTGTTACGTACCCTGATGTAGTGCTCCCCTTAGCATGTGGATCTATAAAGACCACAGAGTGTTCAGACTATATTTCTCCATTTGCTTTTCTCTCTTTGCTTTTCCTTCCCAGTGTTTTGACCAGAATGAGCTGTTAGAGTGCATCCGGAAGCTTGTGGAAGTGGAAAAGGAGTGGGTCCCATACTCTACTGCTGCCAGCCTGTATATCCGTCCTACCTTAATTGGAACTGAGGTGTGAAACACTTATTTCCCCTCTTAGCTTTTGTGTATTTAAGCATGAGGCAAAAGCCTCCATCCATAAAGGGAAATATGCAGCAGTCACTAGACAACAGTATTACAGTTCAGAGGCAACTTGTTTTTATATTTTTACTTCTGAGTTAGTCACCTATAGCTCTACTTCACAAATTTATGTTGACCACACCACCACCTAGTGGACACGTTGATTCAGATCACAGAAAGTAAACTTCGATCAACTATTCTGGGTGGTAATGGCAAAATTTAAATTAACTTAGGTTTTGTGCTCAAAGGATAGTTATTTGTGACATGCTAATGTATGCCTTTAAAATACTAATAATCCAGAGAAAATGTGAGGGAATAGAAATTCGCTGTGTAGATTTTGTGATTTCATCTCATACCTCCATACTGACCTTAGTGAGGAAGTTTTGGAAGATTATACTCAGTAAATTAAGATGGCTCTTTTGAGAGAGACTTTTAGCAGAACTAAGAACAAGTTTTTCTGTCAATTTATTCTTGAATGCAGATAAACGTAATCTTATAAGAGGCTCCTTCACAATTAGGTACTAGTGTGTACTCTGAGAGTGTCATGTGGGTATGAGTCAAGTACTTATGAAGAGAATTAGAAACAAGGAGTTTATTTTAATTAAAACATTAAGGGCTTTTTTTTTAGCAGTGGCAAAAGAGAAACATATAATGGTAGAGCATAGGACAAGGAAGCTAAAGAATGTATGGTTCCCAACTAGGCAACTTACTCTCCTGCAATATCCACATCTGTAAGTAGTTACCATACATAAGCATTATACATTTCACATGTGTTCTAGGAGTTCATTAATTTAATGCTTGTAAAGTAGTTGCAGATTTTCAGATGTAAGGATCTCCACTCAGTGACTGTAAATTAATATTAAAAATTGTACATTTTCCCCCTGGTTTTTGTTTTTTTTTTTTGGAAATTCTTTTGCTGTTGAGCTTTGTTTCAGGTCAGCAAACGTATCTGGCCTTTCCATGATGTCCTATGTTGTCTCTGGGTTGCATGTTTTGCTAATCTTTTATGAATCAGCACAATTAGGAAACCCAGCCAGCACGATCTTTTGAATGGTCATGTAAGAATCAGGAAAAATATCTGGATCTCAGTTAGTTAATCTTTCTCTTGTTAGAAGTTTTGCTGAAGGAGTAAGGTAGATAGAAATCAGAAGAACTCTCTCAGCACCTGAGGAAAGCTTATTTGAATTTTCTGGTAGTTCCATTATTACACTATTATTTTCCCTCCCACCTCCCAAGTTAGCTTCATGTTTTTTGTGCACAGTGTTTTGCTTAGACCTGTGGTCCTAAAGATTTAAGTTCAATAACTTTTTTTCTTTTCAATGGAGACCTAATCTTTGAAACCAAGGATGAGCTTGTTCTTTTTATGAGTGGTTTTTCTGAGTGGAGAGAAAATAATAATCCATTCAGTTGCAGAGAAGATCCCAAGAATCATGGGAAACCAGCTGTATGTAGCCCTGCTTGAGCAAAGGGGTTGGACAAGGTGGTCTCCAGAGGTGCCTTCCAACCTCAATCATTCTGTGATTCCGTGGTCAGTCCTGAGCTTTGCAAAGGATCATATAGTTAGGCAGAGTCTCCTACCACAGAATTCAGGCTTTGACCAATGCCAGACTTTTCACCTCCACTTTCAAGTATTGATGGTGATGATTTCAAGTGTGAGAAGCTGTGTCTGAGAGAGGAGGAGGAAAAAAAAAAAAAAAAGATACATTCCAGGTTATTTCCTGTGCTGTTATGTAAACCATTTCCAGCATAAAAATTACTTTAGCTTATCACACAGCCATTCACAGAGCCAGCACTCAACTCTACTAATGCCAGTTCTAAGTGGCGTTGGCTAATTATCATCACTAATGCAGCTGACAGTGGTTCTTCCATTGTTGTTATTGCTAGCAGTGGTCCTTGCTGCTCCTCCCCCTAGAAGGCATTGCAGGCTTCTGCTGTGATTAATTCATATAATTATATATTATCTTGTTAAGCTAATTTCTGAATTCTCCAAAGCTTGAAACTATTTGAGAAGATTAGAATAACATATAGATAAATGAAACAGCTGTAAGTGAATGGTGACAATATATAAAATTAGGGTTGTTATGTTGCTTGGATGGGGGAAGTTATATAAATATTTTCTCTTCATTGTAGAAGTTTGTTTTGTCCTAGTAAAAGCACTCTTGTGCTGCAGTTCCTCTGAAAGCAGTGTTTCGAAAGATAATTGTGCAGCATCTTACGTTTGGAGTATACCAGTAACTTTTGATTTGTTTACATTCCTTATTTTCAGCCTTCTCTTGGAGTGAAGAAGCCGACTAAAGCCCTACTGTATGTCATACTGAGCCCTGTGGGCCCTTACTTTGCAAGTGGAAGCTTTAATCCAATATCCTTATGGGCAGATCCAAAATACGTAAGAGCCTGGAAAGGAGGAACAGGGGACTGCAAACTGGGAGGGTAAGAAGACACAATTCTGCATCTTCTACATAGCTCACAAAGGAGATTTGGTTTTTAGTGAAGTATCTAATCCAGCAGAAATAGAGGTATTAAATATAGCTGTTAAACAATGTACTATAACAAAGATTTCAAAATTGTACTTTGCCAATATTATTTATACAATTTAGTTGCATATTTTTGTTTGGATATTACAGCCAAGTGGACTATTTGCAGAGGCAATTTTGCAGCATCTCAAACTGAGGAAATGGACCTGGAAGGTGTCCATGTAATACGTTGGCTGTTCCCCTTGGAGAAGATGACACTAAAGATATCACTTCTGTGATGCAGCATTCAGTATAGCAGCATGCTGCCAACTGGGCAGTGAGCAGCATTCACTGCTGACCTCCTTCCTTGGCAGACTGTCCTGAAAACTATCTGCAGTTAGCTAGGGGAGTATGGGTGTTTAAGGGAAAGCATGAGACAATTAGCTGCATTGACCTGACCATAGTCTTTCCAGGCCAAAGCACCAGTTAGGTAGAGACATAGTTGTTAATGTTCAAGTACTTGACTTGTAGAGCAAAGCTGCTTAGGACTTGACTGAAGCAAGCAACTTGGATATGGCTAAATAAGTAACTCAATTATACATCCTCGGTCTTTGGTTTAAATGAAGCTTATTGTCTCTGCGTAGGAGTTTCTTTTATAGGCAGGAAGTTAGTAGCTGTCAAGTGCTACTCAACTGAGCTAGTAGAATAATCAAAGGGCAAGAAAATAGTTTTCCTTCATTCAGTTGGATGTTCTGAGACCTTTACTCTTTGTGAGTTTTTGTTTAGTTTTAGAAATGTATTGTTTCCTGTGCATTCTTCATACATCAGCTGTGAAAAAAGGAATAGTCTGGAGTCACTACTGGCTTGACTTGTGCGCAGAGGTGAGAACTTAACCCCAGTGTGGTTAGCACTTTGGAGCTGCTGACTTTGGATCTTGATGGTTGTTGAACATCAGAAGTGAACGGGATTTTTTCTCCCTGTCAGAGCAGCTACAAAGTAAACACATATTATTCAGTCAGCTGTACCCTGTAGACAGCATTTTAGGAAAACAGTTGCTCCTCAAGGATATGGAATTCCTCAAGGCCCATCTGCAGCTCCTGAAGCTACTAATTCTGTGGATGTCTTTTACTAGAAAAGAAATAACTCCCCTCTGGTGATTTTTGTATTCCAAGAGGTTTACCTGAAATATATGACCCATCTGTTCATCTAACATACATGAGATGAGGTAGATAGTTTTGTCAGGTTTTTTGTTTGTTTTTTTTTGTTGTTGTTGTTGTGTTGTTTTGTTTTAGTTTTAGTTTTAAACTATGAGCTGGATGGGAATTGTTGCTGTCTCTACAAAATTCCAACTGATAAATAAAAATAAATGCTTTCATAAGATGTCTAATCGCAATGAGTAAAATGTGTAGAAAATGGAACAAGAGGTATTTTTAAGACAATTTGGATGGATAAGTTTGAGCTGTTGATGCTGGTGAGCCCTTCAAAGTTTTTGGGTTGTAGATATGAATAGTTTAGTAACATACCAGTGAGTACTTCAAATGAAAATATTCCAGGGTCAAGCTGTGACTGTGCAGAGCACTTGCTCATAAGGTAGATTTGCACAAAACCTTGCATAGAAATGAGAAAATATCCAGGGAGATTCTCATTACTGCTTGCTCTTTCTTTTTGTTTCTGGAAGGAATTATGGTTCTTCTATTTATGCCCAGCAAGAAGCCCTGGAGTTAGGTTGCCAGCAGGTTCTGTGGCTCTATGGAGAAGATCACCAGATAACTGAAGTTGGAACCATGAATCTGTTTCTCTACTGGATAAATGAAGATGGAGGTATAGTAATACGAAACATGAAAACTTTAACAGAGTAGACAGTTGGGGCCATAATCCACAAAATTATTATTAGAGTGCAGATCATAAACTTTTTAATGAAGATGATTTAACAAAGGAAATGTCTGTTCTGTTCTGAAAACTGATAGGTGACTCTCAGTTATACCATTGTGAAAGAGGAGATTCTGGAGCAGCTGTGAGTGCTGCCTATTGATAACCTACTAAACTGTTGGGCCAGCCCATATGCTCAGAAGGGTAGAGTCTAGCCATACACAGGGTCACACTGCAGGTTTGCTGTTTGCTGTTAACTCTAGCAGCATGCTTGATCTTGAAGGAGGTGTTGGGTCAGAATCAATGCAGACATGCTAAAGACACCTTATTGCTCTGTAAGTCTTCAAACTCTGTGGCTTTGGGCACGGGTGGTTCCCATCATCCCTTTCTGACATGTCAAATGTTCCTGAAGCATAACCAAAAGTGTTTCAACATCCAACTGATGAAGAACTCTGCTCTGAAGAATTTGAAGTTCTGTCCAGTGGAAGCAGAGAGAGAGAAAAACATGTCAGCGTTCCACATCACTAAAGCTCAAATATGCTTTCAAGATAGATCATCATTCTTGAAGCCATTTTTACCTCTTTGTACCCACAGTCATATCTGAGCAATGTACATGCTGATTAGAAAACTATCTAGTTAACGAGCAGCCAACTATTTAGGAATCTCAGAAACAACTATTGGGCATGCGAGTATTCAGTGCATGAGAAGTGGTAGCTGCACCTGAGAACTGGTTCCGACGACTACATGTCTCTGAGTCCTTAAAGAATTGAACCAATGTATAGGCAGATGAATAAAAGGACTCCTGACTTCCGTGAGTGCTGGCCCTCCATGAAAATTGCTATTTAATTTTTGCATGGCAGCAGATGCAGGGTTCAGACTCTAATTTCATCATAGTGTCATGGGTACCCTTGAAAATTGACATTTTTCTGACCATGCTCAGCTGCGGTACAGAAGCAGCATTCTGGGGGTACAGCAGTGTGCTTTGGATAGTGTAGGTTAATGGGAATTCAGCTGCCTGACTCCCATCTCCAGTTTCATTACTTGTTCTTCTGCAAAATCTTTACCACTTTGATAAGAAGAGGGATGATACTCCCTCAGTGTTGAATGAGTCTGTGAAGTCTTGTGAATGAAACTATAAATATGAGAAATCTTGTTGCTGTTAAAGCAGCAGTAGATTTGTCACTGTAGCTAGATGGCCAAATTCACGCCTTGTATAACTTTGCTGGAGAGACACGAAAATAGATTTTGGCTCATTCTACCCAAGGAAAGGACACTGAAGGGGGGACATAATTAGAATTCAATGTTCTCATTGTACTTAAAACAGGAATATGCTGGAATTATCCAGCTGCAGCACCGAACTGTTCCAAAGATCTGCCAATCACTGTGTTACCAGTCCACTACTGAATAGTACTATTGTGAGGTGGCCATAGCAAACAACTTGTAATTCATGCCACCCAAGCTAACTGTATACTGGCAAACCTGCCATTTCGCACGACATGGTCATTAGTATCATTGCTGTCTCCTGGTGTGTTGATTAATGATTAATTTACAATACCTTTGGTTAACAATCACTCTTACTGCCAGTGTGTCATCACATACCTGCCTATGGTGTTACATTGTGATTTAAAAAGTGTTTGCCGTTGTGTTCTGTCACTTCACAAAGGATACTTACTTACGCTGTCTTTTTGTTTTCTTATGTAAATTTTGCAGCTGAGAGAGGGATCTAACATAAAAATGGTGAGCCAGAAATTACAGATTATCATCCAAAGGAAAATGCTCTTCTTTGTGTGTTCAGAGGTCGCTGTGGAGTAGTCTGAACTGCTATCCTTGGTGTATGACAAATCAAAGACCTAGCCCAGTAAAGCCTAGACTAAAGGACATCTATGCTTCCAATGAGAGTAGGCTTTTCTTGCAGGCCTTTGCGATATATTTTCAGTTACAGCGCTGTTACTAAACATGACACGCTGTCTAGGGCAGCAGCAGGAGTCTGGAAAAATGTTTCATTTGTAACACTGAGGAAGGAGTAGGGGAGGAAACTACTCCATCTCTAGTAAAATAACATGACAAGCTCTATGCTGCTCTTGTATGCCCACTGCTACTCTGGCTGAGGCTTATGATATGACCAAATCTGGATCCCTGCTGTTGCATAAATACAGAAGTGTGTTATTTCATTCATCAAATACTGTTTACAGTTTATGTTAACAAAGTGAAAATTTTGGTCACCCGACAGCCCCTTCCACCTGCCTCTTCAGAGCACATAACAATCCCAAGAGGATATCAACAATGAAAAAACCTTCCTTTAATAATGTTTATTCTTCTGCCTAGAATATAGATTTGACTTTATCGTAAACCTTAAAATTTAAACATATGTCCAACCTGAATGTTGTTAACTATGAAATCTGTGTGCACTTTCCAAAAATTCAGTTTCTTGAGAATGATTTGGAACCATCTGGGCTCTACTTCTAGCTTTAATGTTAAGGCATTGTGAATAGCATTCAGGCATTACTTAATATTTTTGTGCCCTTATTAAAATGGGGATTAAGAGTGCCCACTTCAAAATAGCTTACATAAATTAAAAATTAAATATGTTAAAAGATTCTCTGGAACACTCGGGTAAAATATCAGGCAAGTTTGCTTAGTATTCTGTAGGTGGAGGATTATTTGTGCTGCAGAGGCAGCAGATAAGATAAACAAGATAGTTTACTTGTATCTTGTACAAGTAAACTATTAATAAAATAAGGATTGCACCCTCTGCTGTAATAGAAAGCCATAGCAATAGCATGGAGGGGAGAGCAGCGGATGAATGAGATGGCAGACAAAGAAAAGGAGGGGAAAGTAATTGAGGAAAGTAAATCAACAGAGAGGCAAAGACAGAATGATTGCATGAGGGGAGAGTAAAGAAAAGCCGGAGGGAAATAAGGAGAAATAAATAGAAAGGTCCAGAACAAATGGGGAGCAGAAGTCAGCTATTAATAATAGTGTAATCAGGGTTCCCTGGGTTCTCCTTGACCCTGAAGTTCACTTGATATCTGTTATCATTTTCGTAAAATATATTTTGGTGAATTTCTTAGTATTGCTATAGTGTCATTAGTACTGAAGGCATCCCACATTTGGAATCTTATCTGTTATATGCTCATAAATACAGGTGTGTAAAAACAGAAGCTGTGTCATATGCAAGACCTCATTTTAAAAATTCCTTTAGACACTCTGTTGGAGTTCCATTGCTACAGCATGCCTATAGCATGCCTGGCGTAATGGGACGCTGGACTGCTAGTGCTACTACTATAACAATGATGGTAGTCAACTGAAGAGAATCAAATGCCTTTCTCCCCCTTTTTTTGCTACTATATATTTTAAGGCTCTTAGCCCATCAAAATAATTCAGAAGGCAAATGGAGTCTGTGAGCTCACAGTCTGTCTTTTTGGAGATGGACAAACTGGTGTCATATGGAGCCTAGTTTGGCATCAATTCACAGAGAAGATCAGCTTTTTGGCATGCTGTGTTGTATAACATTATCATCTCTGCCGGATACCAGGGCAGCAGATGTTCCTTGGGTGGCCCCAGGCTGGTAGGCATCATATGCACACTTGACAAAATTCTGCAGAGCAGGCTGTTTGAAACATTTTGAGACTCCTGTGTCCTGTCTGCTCGGTGCTGTTTGGTGGCTGGTTTGGCCTGGCACCTTTCCAAACTAGCTCAAATCAATTAATGTATGTTGTTGAGCTTAAACAGGTTCTGGCCAAGATCTGTAGCAAAATCACCAAATAGAGTGTTTAGTCACAATCTTCGGTATTAAGGTCCACATTATTTGAAATTTTCTGTTAGAGAAAGGGGAGCACTTGTATATGACTGAGTCACAAATGCAGAACATCAGGTTTTCAGTGTTCAGAATCAAGTGAGCCCTGTGGCTCATGAATAGATTTTAGGTCGTCTTCTTTCGATAGTTGTGCCAGAATTGGGACCAGATGGGCATCACAACTAGGAGCGATGCTAGACAGACTCCAGAAAAGGAAAACTATTGCTCCTGACTGTATGAGAAAGAAAAGACCACTGCTGTCCTTAGGAGCCTGGGACACGTTAAGGAATGGCACTATTGGTTAGTCAAACCAGAGCAGAATATATAGCCTGTCTAGGGCAGCTTTTTTTATACATTTTGGCATGGCAGTTTACATCTATTACTTATGTGTGTATGGAACCTCACAAAAGGAACATGGAAGCATAGGTAGGAAAAACTTCTAGTCTGAACAACTAAATCCAGGAGAGAGCCCATGCTGTAGTCAGTCTGGAGCTGTGTATACACTGGCTGGCAGGCGGTGTTTATGCACAGAATTATATAACTGACTGCTGAAAACAGAGTATTAAGCAGCTGAGCTCAACCTGCTTTCTCTGTCCACAGATGAATGCCATGTTTCTCTCTTCTACCCAATGCAAGTTTTCACAGGACCTATAGAAATAGAAACATTTTAAAGACAGCTTCTCCTTTGCAACTGGTTCTAACAGGCCTGGATCCAGTGATTTGCAGTGGGTAGGGAGAAGGGGGCATAATAAAAACATGAAGATATATATCTTGTTGTTTTATGTGACCTAGGTAAAAGTGAATCAAAAACCCTAATGGTTTGTGGATTTAATGAGCAGGATAGTATCCTTTTAAGATCAAGAAAGATAATGGTTTCTCACTGGGAAGAGAAAATGGTTAGAAAAAAAATATGAAGAGTATTACTGAGAGACTGTGGATGTCTTCACTTCTCAGTGCAAATTTGAGACTGTCTTAAAAGAGCCTGGCTGGCTGAAAGAGAAAATGCTCAGTATTCTCTGATAATAGAAACCACTGAATATGCTATGTGATGGTTTAAAATGAAAGTGATGGTTTAAAATGGAAAAGATTAACTCTGATTTGCTGAAAAGGTCAGATGAAAGAACAAAGACTACATACAAACTTCTGTCTTGTAATTTAAGTATTTACCAAGTATGGCTTACCATTTATCTATTGTTCCACTAGTTATGTTAGATGAATGTTTATCTTTCTTTTTTTTTTTTCCCCCCCAAAAGCAAACAAGAAAAACAAACTAACTAACCAAGCTGGTTGAACAATTTGAATTGTTGGTGCTTCTGGAATTTCATTAGGACTGCTCTTTTTGTGTAAAGAGGAAATTAGGAGGGGAAAAAGAATGTCTAGACTAAGACTAAAGATCATTAAGGAAGTTTCCCCTCAAGATGCATTTGGCAAGGTTTCCACTGCTTTGCTTGTTCAGTAAATGAGGCTCAAAATTTCTGGTAGATGTTTCATATTAATGCTAGGAAGTAGGTATACTGAACCCTATATTCCTAAATTAAGTAAGGCAGTTCAGGGAAAGTCATGATCTGCCCTGGGATTATCAGACATGGCTTTCACTTCTGCCTCTCTATTCTGAATTTGAAAACTGAGCCATTTGGTGATTCCCAGTAGTTATACAGTGAATCCATCATACACTGAGGAATAAAACCTACTACTAGGCTTTAGCCATGTATTTATTAATGTATTAAATGTGTTCCTTCCCCACCAACTGAAGTGTGCTCAAAAGGTTCAAAACACTTAACAACTTACTAGAATTGAATTTGTGTAATGTATGTTCATATAGAACTCTGATAAATGTTGCATCTTACTGGGTAGGGAACATTTCTGACATCATTTGACTTCTTTTTAGTTTCATGTTTGGTGTAATATCAGTAAATGTCATTTTTGTTTCTTTGTTTGTCAACCAGTGTTTCTTTTATGTTTGACAGAGAATGAACTGGCAACCCCACCTTTAGATGGCATCATCCTTCCAGGAGTGACAAGACAAAGCATTTTGGATCTGGCACGCAACTGGGTGAGTGATTTGACCTTCACAGTAATGGTTTAACCTATCATGTTATAACATTGACAAAAGTAAGTGTTCCTGGTGCTCAGTATCTTGAAGTTCAACTGATCTGGTCAAATCTCTTAACCTAAATGGGAGCTAAGGGCATACTAATGCCTAGATTCCCAGCTGCATCAACAGAGTACCCACACCTGTTACACAAAACAATGCCAGGCTTGTTAAAGTAGCTCCGTGTAGTATTTAACATGAAAATTCTCATTAAATCCACTGCTACTAGCAACTTAAAGCAAGGAAACAAACAATTACCGTGCATGACCACAGCTATCCTTCAGTAATCAGCACATTATTTCTCTACTTAGTTCTCATGGTTCCACCCTTATTTCTAATAACTAGCATGCAGCCTAAATCCAGCCACAATCTTGAAGTCATCTGTCTGCTTCCCCACTCCAGTTCTGCAGTGTAGGCATCCAAGTACTTATTTGGACACTTGGGACTACCTTGTATCTTGAAATGCAGCAAACTGTTCACTCTGCTTGTACTGTATTCAAAGGTTTTATTGTGTCTTGGATAAGAATACTATACAACCAAAGGCTCATCAAGCCCAATATCATGTCTCCTGGCCAGGCTTATGTTTAGTAGGGAGGAGTAACAGGAATAACACAGGCATGCGTGATACTTTCCCCCTGGTATTAACTCAGCTTCCCACCACCTGTAGCTGAAAGACTTCCTGAAATACAGTTCACAGTCATATCAGTCAAATCTAACTTGCAGTGAAGAGAGCTAGGCAAGTACTTCGTGATGCCTGTGTGCCGCTTGTTGGCCTGCACTGAACTCTTATGCATCTTTTTTCATATTGGTACTCCCCTAGTGCAGCCATGCATGCAAACTTCTCAGTCCTGTCTCCTTTACAAGACAGACAGATATTCCCAGTTGATAGGGCTTGTTTGTGAGATACCAGACTCTCACCTCAGTCCTCTTGAATAATTAGGTGTCTTCTACTCTCACAAAGGTTGTTCTCTTCTTCCTGACCTCCATTCCCTAACCTATCTGAAACTCTGCTTATGTGCCTCTCTCTCCAAATACTATCCTGTCCAGAGCCACTCGTATTTTTTGCTATTGTAAGCATCTCTGTTTCATGTTAAAAACTTGCACATAAAACAAGGGCTAAGCTTTAGTTCGGTCTGATAGGACAAAAAGTCCACATAAATTCATGAAATGAAAATATCAAAGTTTGATGTTTATTTTTGTTCTTTAAACGCATCACCTTGGTCAGTTGCTATGCATTCAATCATTTGCTATGCACTCTTTAACACTTGTAGAAGGTAAAACACTCCCTATGTTAAGACTGTCCAATGTGAATTGCTTTACTCATACCTGCAGTACAGTTAATTTTTGTATGTGGCAGCTGTGTGCAGGCTACAGTGTGGAATTTCACCACGGATTAAAGAAATGTATCACTTCTAGTTGGAAGTGGAATTAACAGAATGTATTTTGCTTAGGAATTGTCCGACTGTGCGATGTAAAGCTCTCTTGACATAACTGAGTAATTTTTGTACAAACTCTAGCATGCTAGAGACCATGAGTAGTCAGATCCTGTGTCACATAACCTGTGACAAATTCTGTTGTGTTATTCCCTAACGCAAAATTGATATTCTGTACCAAATGAGAGCAAAGTGCCACTTACTCATCAGCATCAGATCTGGCAAACCACTGGCTTCCTTGAAGATCATTCTTTTGATTAGAGACTATCTTGCATGATACTGGGAGGTTTGAAAAGATCACAAGATCACAGCCAAAACTTGACATTGCCACTAGGCTAATAGTTCTGTTAGAGATATTTTGACATGGAAAACAAAAAGCCAAACCATTTTTTACAATTTTTATGGTTGATTATTCTTGTGCAGGGAGAATTTAAAGTGTCTGAGCGATACATCACCATGAGTGACCTGACAGCTGCCTTGGAAGAGGACAGAGTGAAGGAGATGTTTGGCGCTGGAACAGCTTGTGTTGTATGTCCTATCTCTAAAATCTTATATAAGGGCAAGGTAAGAAAATGTGTCTCTCTTTTGTTCCTTCTTTTTCCCCTTTTCATCTTTCTTCAGAATTTTATCATAATTAGTTGCAGCTGAAGCAAAAAAACCCAAGTAAGTTAGAAAAAGAGTGCTGCCAGATGCTCCTGGAAAGATGAACAGCGTCAGTATGTTGTTTCTCAAGTGAGTTACTAGTATTTTGTCAGAAGAGAACTATCCCTCTCGTCTTTTGGGTTTTTTCAATAGTTAAAATCATAACATCTCAATTCCTTGGGGGGGGGAAGTTCCCAGCCTGTTTGAAAATATAGAAAAATACATTCTCCCATGTTTCTTTTCTTGAACATTTTTTCCAAAGTTAAGGTACCTGGGAAAGGTGAGAAGGGGAAAGACTTTTGCAAGGAACCAAATTTCTGAGCCACCGCGTTCTTTCATTTTCAAGTTCATCTCTTCTTCACCCCTCATTGCAGGGAACCCAGCTCTGATGGAAGAGCTGTTTCAGGAGGGTGCACAGCTGCTTCCTCCTACTATACACCATATGGGAGATTTCTCCTGTACAGGTGGAATTCCACAGGCATTCAGCCTGTTAAGCTGACTTGATGCTATTTAGCCAGCACAAACTTAGTTCAGAAAGCTGGGTTATTGCAGCTGTATATATGGGTGTGCTTTGTTCCATTAAATATGAAAAATATAGTAAGTGTCTGTAAAGTGATACTTCCTGAACTAATAAGATGGAGTAAATGTATTGATATTATTAGATGCTAAGATACCATGAGAGAGATCAAGGTGCTGAGTGATAAGTACTATAGATGTACCTGTTGTGTTTCTACATGATATACTTTGAAAAGAAATGCTGTATATAGTGTTTCTACTCTTGTCTGTACAATATACTCTCCTCTCCATTTTGGACAGATCTTTTGGAAGGCTTAGATTAGCCTTTGTTTAAAAAGAGCATAACAGTTCAACTAATCTAACGTTTCACTGGCTCAGCATGCCTTCCTATAAAAATCATTACAACAATCTTTTCCTACTTGTAAGGAGGGCTAAAAAGCTTGATAAATATTTATTAAAATTCTTAGTGACCCTAAGGCATTAATATGTGTATAAAGCTATTATTATATGTTATTGTCTCGCTCTTCCTCCCCTGCCCCGCCCCATTCAATGACAGCATTGGCACATTCCAACTATGGAGAATGGACCTCAGTTAACAACCCGTTTCCTGAATAAGCTGAGTGACATCCAGGTAAGCTGCTTCCTCTTCTTTAACTAGATAAAATAATACAAGGTGAAAATTTGAAAACATCAGAAAACAGTCTTTTTAATAGTGGTGCTGTAGGCACCATTATATAATAATATAGGCTCTTTTGTTTGGTGTGGTTATTCTATCAATTTCTTTCTCTTTCTCTCTTTTTTTTTTTTCCCCCTTGAAAAAGTATGATATTGATGGAGAGTGATATATTTTTTCCCTGTTTGGAAGCTGGATGACAGTTGTAAGATACCACTGTTATCAGTGAAATCCAGTCCTGTTTTTATAGGTTCCTTTTTAAGGGAAAAACTAGATGAAGCATCTTAATAACCACAATCACATATAGGCTAATCAATAGAGATGGGTGAAGTAGTAAGCACTCACTGGCACAGTCAGCTGATCACCATTTCTGTTTCTCAGCATCTTTCCAATCACACGGTCACTTTTTGTTCTTAAAACAGTTCCTTCCTCTTTGGTTTGCTAAATATCAAAGTCTGTTTGGAATCTGTGTTTGACCTCCATGTCTGAGTGAAGGAGTCAATATCATTTCAGTTAAAGTCAATGAGTAGAGTATGATGGCTCTTCTTATTTTAGTTGCCTGTTTTCTTTTCCCTATTTAGCGTAGTTTATGGTATGGGGGATTTGGGGATAAAAGTAGGTCTTGGCAAGTTACAAGTCCCTTTATTTAAAATCTAATAGCAGCTGCTTGGCAGTATTGTCAAGATTTCTTCAAATCAAGTCTGATGGCTGCTGTTCTACGTTCTTAGCTTTTGGCTGAAAAGGTTCTTAGATAACATTTGTATTGGCTTAGTATATGAGAATACACAGTATCTTTTCTCCAGAATCCCACTGCGTACTGCAGTTTTATTTAATCTTTCTCAACCCAAGCACCTGATACACCTATCTAAAATAAATATTAGTGTCCATCACTTTATTTTTCTTGTTGTCGTATGTCCAGATTTATTTCAGGGACTGACTATAAGCTGATTTTATTGACACACTTTTCATTGTGATGCATACTGATCACTGTTTCCATAGCGCTCTGCTCTGTATTAAAGCCATCTTGTTAGTATATCAAGTATCTATCTTTAATGTCTAAAAACATTTGTGTAACTTTTGTGTTACCTTCTGATGTCTAGATGATGCTTTTGCAATATATGTTAGGGCCTTCAACAATTTGTGGTCAGTTTGAGTCTCCACTAATCACTTATAATTGCAGTCATGGAACAGCTCAGCATCAGAAAGAGCTGAGGCCAGTTCTAGCTCCTTGTTGAGTGTTGCATGTGGGGATAGGTACTGCCTTAGCAGTTTGTGTTGGTTTGTTCTCTAGAAGACTGGCTCGTGAAATCCAGAATTCTGTTTCAAAAGACAACACTGGAATATGTGTCTTTCTCCCTTGGCCAATAGATAGTGAGTGGATTATTAAGACAAATTCATCCAGCCAGCTCCCTGAGGCTTCCTCCCGTGCCCTCCCCCGTCACCCTGCTCCTTCCCCTCCCAACCAAGGCTCAGGAGGAGGCTGCAAAAGTGTGGATTGCTTCTAACCATTATCTTTCTTGGACCTTTTCACTCTGCAACTACATATATGGACCTTTTTGCCTTACAGCTCCATACATACCATGTGTTCATCAGTTACAGGCCAAGAGTAAATTCATCACTCCTGGGAAGTGCTGGACTATTATATAGATGCTTATTTCTGGGTTTTCTTCCTTCTTTAAAAAAGCCAGGAGAGTTAGAACACTTCCTTGTTAGAAACATGGTTTTAAAGAGAATGATGGCTGCTTCGCCTTTAAGAGTCAGTAGGTGATTGCTGACTGTGTTTCTGCACTTTCCTATCTGTGGAGAGATGAGCTCATATCCAAATGGATCCCAGGTTGTCATACAGAAAACAATGCTACAACACACAAAATTAAATATATAATCTTCTTACAATGTCAGGGGAGTTTTCAGGATCTTTCACAAAGATCTTTTATATATTCTACCAGGAGGGAAGAGTAAAAGATCTCTTTGCAGTATCATTGGACTATTGTCATATCATTTGGACAGACTGAGGCTGTTATTCCAAAGAACATTCAAGTTCTGAAGAATATAATGCAATGGAAACTACAGCCAAACAGAACTTTGGTCTCTGTGATGTGCTGTTGCCTGAACTAGGGCAATGTATCTATTTAATCTTGGACAATGGACATTTGTAAAAAAGTAAAAATTCTGAGTACCAACATTGTCCTGCATTTGAACCTCTGACCAAGAGGTGCAGAGCTCCATTTCCAGTATCATTATAACGATTCCCCTGTGTACAATACATGCTTTTTTAACATTTTCATATTATCTTCATTATTGTGTTTCTAAGTCTGTTTTCATGCTGCTCATTGTTCTTTTGCAAGTCTTCTGTGTTCAACAGGATGTCTTTGGATTTGAACAGCTGTTCAGTGGAACTAGAGCTAGAGTGACAAATTAGAAACTCATGGGCAGAACTGATGCAATTTCTCATGCCGATTGAGACAGACAGTAGTAGCACTGCGATATACGTTTCCCTTCCTATCACTGAGTGGAAATCATGATTATGAAAGGCTGATAAAGATTTTAGATTAAATCATTTACATTGTATACAGTAATGGTGTGTGCTTATGAATGAATTAGTCATAGTACATTGTCTTCTATAACTGCTTCAGTTAGAAGATTTAGAGATGAGATTCTTATCTCTGGGAATACACTCAGTGAATTACCATGCAGATGTTTTTGTGGTTTTGCATTCCATGTTTTGAGAATAAATATGCTTTTGCTATGTCCTTTAAAGCATAGATCAGAATGGAAGAGATGGATAGAAGGTAAGATATATTGTTTATGCTACATGATATAAAATACATTTTAACACTGCAGTCAAGACAGCAGTGAACAGACATTTAGTCAAAACCCCCATCTTTCTCAAAGTTGCACAATCTAAATGGGTAAGCCAGTGGAAAACAACCAGGGAAGGAGAATGGATGTCTTAATTTTCACAAAGCAGCACCTATGAGGGGAAAAAGAGCAACAGGATTGACTAGCTTGAGGTCACAAAGTCTTTAACAGAATCAGAAAAGGAAGGTAAATTTCCTTTATTTCCAGAATAAAAACCTCCTGATTGTGGTATAACATCTTCATTCCCCTTTTAATTCTGGAAGCAGGTTCCAACCATAGTCAAATGGCAACTCAGACCAGTCCTTGCAACTTCTGAAGTCAGCATCAGAGCATTAGATGATACTACTACCTAAAGCCAGCAAAACTTACAAATAATCCCCTGGCCTTTGCCTGCTTTCTGATTAGGGGGAGGTGGGGGTACCACCTTTTCTCTGAGAAGCAGGGATATGAAGGTCAGAGACATCTCTTTTTTTCCTCTCTTTGAGGAAATCATCCTCAATAAAATTGCCTCACATGAGGGTAATCCAGTACTTTGTGGTTAAACTAATGATACATCTGCTTTTCCTTGGTTAGGGTTCCCAAGGCAACCACACTGACATCTGGGAATGTAAGCTGGAAATCCTTTGAACAAGTAATTCATCCAAGGTCCTGTGTAGCACTGTACCAGTGTTTAGTCAACCATATCACAGACTGCAAAACAGGAGCAGCAGAATTAGTAATGAAAAGAAAAAGTAGATGTGATACATGTGGAGGTCATTTAGAGGTTTTACCTGCTGGAGTAAACAGTAAAACACAAGCACACTGAGCGTCATTCCTTTGTGGATCTGGAAGTACATTTTTTGGCTCATCCTTATTTGGAGCTGTTGTCTTTTCCCTGCTTAAAATCCCATTATCTCCTTCTCTGCTGATGCAGAACCTGGATTGGAGGAATTTCCTTTTATCCTCTCTGGAGAAGCGATCTTTTCAGCCTACATCAAGGCTCTAAAAAACAATCTTTATTCCTTGGTGAAAAGTGTTTTCAAGCTCCCTGAACATGGTACTATGAGGGAAAGGGCTCCCAACCTTCATCTCTCACTAGTCTGTCCACTTCTGCTTTACTTACATACTTGAGGCCTATGTGTGTTTTGGGGGCTCTCTGGAGTGTTGTTTACAGGACTGGTGACAAAGAGCTTTAGAACATGGAGCCAGTTTAACAACCAAAACTGCTGCCTTGGGACTGTATCCTCCCCTGGGAGGGATACAGCTCATTTCTGCTTGGTGATCCCGCTGGTTTGTGTATGGAAAGATGACTTGCTTTATTTGGGTTAGAATTCTTTCTAACTGTACTCTGTGGTATTTGTGATGGGTTTTATTTCACATTCAATCAGTATGCTGTAATAAAAAGCCACCTTGAAAATAAAAAGAAATAAAAACAAATGTGTTTGTGTATTGGAGCTTGAGCAGGGGCATACTTATGAATGAATTAGTGAACTGACCTCAGGGAATAACTGTATTAGATTGATGGAAAGCTCTAGTGAAGCAGGACTATTCTGTATCATCTCTAGTGAGTATCAGTATTGCCTTTTCCTAGTCTACTTACTGGAAGATGAATAAAGCTTCAAGCTGCCTTTAGGCTTTGCTCAAATCAAAGACAGAAGTAAAAGCATAAGAAATAATGTAAACTACTATCAGGGTGGTGGATGTGAATCTTTCTGAGGATAGACCTAAGAGGTTGTCATAATTGTACTTTTAACTTTTATTCTTAAACTCCATTTTTGCTTTGTTTCAGTATGGAAGAGAAGACAGCGATTGGGCAGTGCTGGTGTCGTGAAGGTGGAAGAGTTCAGACCCTCCAGACAGCACAGACTTGAATAATGACAACTTCTGTAGCTGCCTGCGCGTAGCATAGTTTCTGTATCAATTTGCTCCCCAGGATGATTGTTTCCACAATCCTGTGAATGTGAACACAATCATTTTGATTTCTACTGTGATCCTGTTGGTAGAAGCCTGTCTTCTTGGTAGAGGTGCTAAATGTTAGCAATAGAACTTTCCTAATGGTTTTCTTAGTGCCTCCTTGTGTCTTATGTACAGCCTGAAATCTTGTAAAATGCTCTTCAACTGCTCTTCAGTTTGTTTGGTTTGTTTTAACTGCCATCACCAGCAGAGCACGTTGTCATATAACACAAAGACATTGCCTGTTAGTTGGCCACAGAGTTCTATTGACATTATTCTGCCTTTTGCTCTGTGTTCAGGAAACAAGTTTAGCCATATGCTCTTTCCTTTCATACTCTGCTTGTATGGGAGATTCCCGAGTTTGCACAGCCCTCTAGATCCCCTCATGCTCTGTCAAGTAACAGCTCTGCCCTTTAGGCCAAAATTCTCTGAGTTGATCTAGTCTGCAACACGCTGCCTGTTGGCCTATTGCCTTTCCCTCCATGGGGATATGCAGCGGCTGCTTGGGCAGTGCGTACCTCTCTAATAGTTGAATACATCCTTCCATACAGGAGTTACAGGGCTGGGTCAGGCCCTGCTGAGACAAGAATTACCCTTTGGCCTAGCACAGAACTGGGCGCTGTGTACACAGTGTTGCCTTCCAGGCGGATGTCTAGAAAGTAAGATTAGACAACTGTGGCTGTGAAAGTTGAACCACTCTTCACAGCAACCAAACCTTTGGATTGAAGAATTTCTTTCATCATCCAGTCACATAATTTAGATCAGCAGGATGCTTTTCTTGTACCCTTCACCACTTGCTGTGAAATGTATCCAGCCTCCATTGACACACATGTCAGGGCCTTCCTATTAAGGAACAAGCTATGTTGTCAACAGAAAATATCTAGCACGAGAAAAAAAGAGATTTCATTCAAACCCTGTTTTCATTCTGATTAAGCACATACTTCTTCATATACCGCTGCTGTCTCAAATGCAGTCTTGATACTATTTGGAAGCAATATAGAGCATGTAGGCCATAGTTAGGAAAATAACTTTTGCAAATGTTCGCTTGCAATTATACTGTCATAATTATTAGCTTTCCCTTTTTGCACACAGCTTTGTCAAACAGCTTTAAGATATCTCTTGCCAAAAAGGATCACCATATTCTGTATCAATGTTCCAAAGTGCTACTTCAGTATAAAACTGGTGGAACTTTATTGACACTAATGTAGTCCTACAAGAAGTAAAAGTGAAACATTTATTGCCATAGTTTGCAGTAGAGATGCACCAGTATTAATGGACATATTTAGCACTTTATTTTTTTTTAAGACCCAACAGTATCTCTCCCATGCTTTATAAGTCCTTTGTAGTTACTGGCATTTGTTAACATAGTTTAAAAAGGCAAAATATAATTTCTAATAGACCATCCCGGAGAGGGACTGTTTACAAGGGCATGTACTGATAGGACAAGGGGTAAAGGCCTTAAACTGAAGGATGTTAGATTTAGAGTAGATACAAGGAATAAATTCTTTATGGTTAGAGTGGTGAGACACTAGAACAGGTTGCCCAGAGAGGTTGTAGATTCCCCCTCCCTGGAAGTGTTCGAGGCCAGGTTGGATGGGGCTTTGGGCAGCCTGGGCTAGTGGAGGGTGTCCCTGCCCACAGCAGGGGGTTTGGAACTAGGTGAACTTTAAGGTCCCTTCCAACCCAAACCATTCTGTGATTCTACGATTCTATCCATGCCTTATACATCTGCTAAAAAGTAGCCTTGTGGCTTTCCTGTTCAATTTTGGTCAGATTTTAAAGACAACCCCTACTTAGCCATCACATTCCTTTGTTCTCTCAAATCATGACTTCTACTATCTTTCACTGCAGTCCAATCTGATCTTTTAATGAAGAACAGTTGAAGGTTCTCTCTGACAATGTAACCATTGTTAAAATTTGTTGGATGGTTTTCTCTTTAGAATACAACTGCAAACACAAAATGTTGTTTCACTTACAGTAGCAATAGTATTGTGTGTCTGCTTTTCTGACCATTTGAATCTGTATTGTGTGCTGATCTTCGTTCAGTATCTTACTATGTATTATAAGCTGCTGGTAGTCTTTCTTTTTTATTTAATTAGATGGGTGGAAAAATTAACATGGGGAATATGTCAAGATGCAGCGTGGGTTAGAGAGTTTTATCCAATGAGACAAATATCAAAACTAAAGAGTGCCTTTAACTAGAGTTAGTGGCATGGAACTCTATAAAGATTATGTCATGAACAACCACCTGTGGCTTCCTGTTACTGACCTATCTAATCTATCCCCTTATGTTCATCTCAGATTTAGCAGCAGAAGGAAAAGTGGAAATATCTAACTTCAGATATGCAGCAAAGTGGTTGTATGATACCTTAACATCTCAGGATGTTGATAGAGTTGACAGGTATCATATATCAAAAATCCCCATGAAGGCAGTAGTATACCAGCAGTAATCTAATCACTAGTCAGAATGAATAAGGACCAGTTAGAAGAATTATTTTACTGCAGTGTAAACCTAAAAGTTGCGTAGAACTCTTCTTAAATTGGATGCAAGTAATTTAATGTGAGGAAAGCAGGCATTTTCATTTATGGTGGTTTGCACAGTTTCCTGCACTGACAAGAGAGATACTTTCATTTTACTGCACATTTTGAGCTGATGGAGACTTCAAAATGATGAGAATTGAAACTGGAATGACCCACAGAAATGCATAGACTTTTCTAGCAGAGAAGAATGAAAACATATAGTATATGTATGTTAACTGTTTTTAACATCTTGGTTAATTGCTTTACTTTGGCTGTGTCAGCTCAACGTTGTGTTTGTTTCCAAATGGCATCCAGGTGAATAGGTTCTAGATTTTAAACTTTAAGTCCTAATAAGGGAGCTGACAGGTCAGTATAATGCAGAAAATTCTTCTGATGTTGCATGCTGTCCTACCCTGCATTCTGCCATGGCTTTTTTATCCTGTTAACCAGAGGAAAAAAATAATAGGTGTAACTAATAGTGAGTATTTGGTATTGCATTCTCCCTGTTTTCGCCTGTAAAATTTAGGATGGAACTGTGGTATTCCCCGAGCTAATAATAGATTGTAAAAGAACATCTGCACATCTTTTCTCCATGTGCCCTATTTGTTTAATTGCAACAGATTTACATAGAAAGAGTATGGTACATCATAACTAGGCAATTATCCATTCTTCATCACTTAGTTATGGTTCTGCTAATTGATCATTTAAGACATAAGATAGTCTAACATTAGGAGAATTTGAGACTGTTCAAAAAAGATCAACAAATTAATATTGTTGTGTGATATTTGCATAATTGGCTGCAATTATTTAATGTTTAATTGGGTTGATCAAATGAGATTCAGCCTTTCACATGCTTATGTTTTACAAACACTGGTACTTTAAAATGACAATAACAAACTCTAATTTTTGTATGTTCTTTCTTCTCCCCTTCATTCTTTTAATTATTATTTTCAGTATTGAGCATGTCTTTAATTTTCAGTTTGGTGAGTATGATTCATGCATAGGAAAGAAGTCCTTCAAATGAGAGAACTTTTCATTAAATTGGCATTTCATACAAGCTGTTCTGATGCCAAGAGTTATGATTTCAGCAACTGGCATTACTTAACTAGATTCTTAACTACAGTGAGGGCAAATTTGCTGAGAATTTACAGTGACAGACTCTGGTGAGAATGCTAATAAAGGTTCCACCTTAGGGTAGATAATCTGTTCAGTGCAAAGCAAATATGATCTTTCTTGGATATAGAAGGGAAGTCTGATAAGACAAAAACAAGATAGTGAGAGATCTCTCTGCCCAGCCATTGTTTACACCTGTTCAACTATCTCTAGTCAAAAAGTAATTGTCTTCCACTCCTCCTCTTTCTAGATAAACTCCTGTTGAGGGTTTACCTAATTCAACAGAGAGGTATCAGTGATCCTCTCCTGTATACTTATTTTGCACTTATTTTTCCTCAGGCATGAAGAAGGGTAATTTGAAAACAATGTGATATTTGAAAGAGTCATTTGGACTGCAAGTTATTTGAAGTGTCTGTCTAATACATGGTCTTCCAAGGAGGCAGACAGAAAAACAGCTGGGACTGACCTCATAGCCACCTAATTAGAGGGGGAACTCTCTTGAATTCAATGACTCCTCCAAAACAATCTGCATAATCGCAACAGATTGCTTAGTGTTGATATGTCTTGCTATGAAATAGAATACAGAGATGGTAGTGCAGCCTGCCAGACTATGGCACATTTGCTCTCTCTGCACGGGATTCACACTGCTGATAATAAGTTTTAAGGCTCTAGTGGCAAGCTCGTATACTGAGAGGTGGGCAGGTGTAAATGATGTCTGAGCGTGCCCCGAGGTGGGCTGTTCCTTGCTGTCTTTCTCTCCTTTCTGCACAGACTTGCAACCCCTTTTTCCCAGCCTCCTATCATGATGTCACCTAGTCTTATATCTAAAAGTGATCATTCAAGCAAATTTTACACTCTTTTTGCTTTTAGCAGTAGTGATCATTAAAAAAAAAAGTGTTTTGTTCATCTTGCAGGTGTTCAGGGATCAGAATTGCACTTTACTACCTGCACATAAAACGCCTGAACAGATTGCCACTGACTTTGTGACCCTGGACAAGTTATCTAACCTCTTTGTAAGTGCAGAGTAGTAGTAGTACTACCACTTACACCACTTTTAACTCTATTCCAAACTTTTGCATAAAAAGTTATTTTCCTATAGATCAAATAAGCTTTCCAGAAAGCTTTTAAGCAGCAGAGAAAGATATCATGTAAAGTCCAGCATTTCAAGGATTGCTTTAGAGTGGAAATATCTTGATTATGCAGGAGAAAAATGTTATTTGCATAAGAAATATATTTAAGATTTGCTGTATGAACCCATAAACAAGTAAAATATAAAGTAGCATACAGAAACATCTTGAAAAGAGAATACACCCCCACCTCACAAACAGTGCTATCTTATTTAAAAAGTGATGCTTGAAGGAAGTATTGTATTTCTCAATGTAGAGTCATTAGATTACAACTGTTCTAGAAGTACACTTCATCATGTAGCACTGAGACAGAGCTCTTAATTACAAATTTTCTGAACTGCAGTAATTAGCAACTGGGAAAAGTCAAAGAGCTGTGTTTTACTCTATTTTGTCACTGTCCTCAAGATTTG